ACGTTCAAGTTTGCTTGTGCGACTTACATTCCTTTACAGCTTCTCCTGCGCCTGCGCAAATTGAAGTCAATGTCGTCACTCAAGCACGCCTTATCAACCGCCTTGCGCTCATCTGCGTTCCTTGCTTCGTTTGTGAGCATGTTCTATTACTCAGTGTGCCTCGCCAGAACAAGACTAGGCCCCAAGATCTTTGCCAGTGACACAATCACACCCATGATGTGGGATTCTGGGCTTTGTGTTGGTGCGGGATGTCTCATGTGCGGATGGAGTATACTCATTGAGAGTGCGCAGAGACGGCAAGAAATTACATTATTTGTAGCACCCAGAGCTGCAGCGACGGTCATGCCGAGGTTTTATGATAAGAAGGTATGCTTGGTTGACTTGGCCATAGCGTTCGGTTGCTTGGTTCGAGGATGGTTGCACTAGCCCCGTCGTTCCATCCGTCATCCCGATTCAGGGCTACCCTAGATATTGAGATCCTATGCTGACAGTTTCTATTTGCTCGATAGTATCTGTATCGTGAACGCATTGCATTTGCTATCAGCGCTGCTGTTCTTCTAACGTGTGCCCAAGCACGTCCCGAGATGGTCCGAGGGGTTTTTGGAAGGGTAGCAGCGAGTGTCTTGAGATGAACGGGCACGAGCGACTCCCTTCTTCCTGCAGCAATCTGTTCAAGCATCTTTGAATCATCAGACCCAATGCTCGCTTCTGCTATTCATCATCAAACGGTGATAAAGTGGACTTGGAGAGTCGAAAACCTCCGCAATGACCGCGCTTGCATCTTTACAGCGAGTGTAATCAAGTATGAAACATTAAAACGGCTCCAAAGAAGACTAAACTCAGTTTATGCATATAAGCAAGTGAGTCAAACGGTTCAGTCTGCACGCAAATGACGGGTGGCTTGGTAAGGGAAATGAAGTGTAGCATCTCAGGCTGATAATTTCGGTGTTGGACCGTCAAGCGCCTTTCCGACACTGGCAGTTAGGGCTACTAGGCAGCTATGCAATTATTCTAAGGCAAGTTGCAATCGGGAGTCTTCTCCTCGGTTATGACATGAAATCATCCATAAGCAAAAGTGCCTAAGCATGACCTGAACCTCCCGTAATTTGAGATAAGCTTTAAGAGACAGTACGGGGGATAAATTGAGCCCTTAATTGTGCAGGCAAGCTATAGTCTGATGCCTGAATGGCAGCGCAAATCGACATAGACCGCCTTTGTCACTGCGAGATGCGGCAGAATGTCCTCAACCTCGGAGAAGGAGATCTAGTGGGGAAACCCTGAACAGCACCCAAGACGGGAGTCCGATGGCAAAACTGTTTGAGAAGGGCGGTGGCAGAAAACTGCCCACTAACAATAATGATTATCACCACATGATCAGCCCACCTTATCGGATATTCTTGAGTCACGTGTGACAAGGACATTATCGAGCCTGGACTTGATGCTGCAGTCGGAGTCCATTTACACTGTCCCCGCAGCACATCTCTTTTAACCATGATTTCCCGTTCAATATCCTCATGGGGCCGGCTCCCATTGCCGGGATCAAGTCTTCGTCTATCTGCCCAGATCAATTCAAGATGCATGGATTCTGGAAGACGATTCTTCACTCGCAATTCAGTTCTACGACAAAACATTAATGCTCCCTTCAATACACCCCAGTCGCAAAAGCGCAATGCGTCCACCATGTATGATGACATGGCGACTGTCTTTCCAGTGCAATGCTTATAGATTACTAGGTATTATACCATGAGTATCATTCTCGGTACCGTTGCTTTGGCTTATGGCTCTGTTCCTCTGTATAAAATGGTGTGTTCAGCCCTGTGAATATGCACTTCATCTGCGTCATATATTTACTTCTACCGCCCATTGTATAGATCTGCCAACAAACTGGCTGGAACGGTCAACCATCTACTACGCATCGCGGAGGCGACAACGATACCGCATCTCGTGTCAAACCCGTGACAGACGCCCGTCGACTCAGAATCACCTTCAATGGATCAGTGTCGGATGTTTTACCGTGGAAGTTCACTCCGCAGCAACGCGAAGTCCGTGTGCTTCCGGGAGAAACAGCGCTTGCTTTCTTTACAGCTACGAATAAGGGCCCCACAGATATCATTGGTGTTGCGACATACAGTGTGACCCCTGGTCAAGTCGCACCCTATTTCAGCAAGATTCAATGCTTCTGCTTTGACGAGCAGAAGCTTAACGCCGGGGAATCGGTCGATATGCCGGTATTCTTTTTCATCGACCCTGACTTCGTCACGGACCCAAACATGAAAGGCATTGACACTATCACTTTGTCATACACCTTTTTCAGTAAGAGCAACGCCGAGCGCGCACTATCTGCACAGGTTGCTAACATCAAGCAGAGGCACGATACGATGATAATGGGGTACTCACGCCACTGCCTGCGTGATGATATCTGGATACCCTTGCTCAATTTGTTTTCTTGACACCAACTCAGGCGCCTGTGACGTAGAGGCTTTCATCAGAGGAAAGCCTCTGACGACCTGTAATCGAGTAGGTTTCAGTAAAGACACCTGCTTGTCAACCCCTCTCTTAAAGACCTCACATCTCACTTCTCCGGCAAATACTCTTCAAGCCACTATCGCAGATAACCTTTGGCGTCTATTCGGGTTTTGTACTATAGAGCATGTATATACAAAGAACTACCAGTATGTGTACGATATGGGTAGGAAATTTCCCTTGTATATTGCCTACGGGCCCTGAGTTTGAATCATTGCCGCTGTTAATGGCATTCCAAGTACTTACTCGATTCTGTCTGCGGATATCAGGGAAGCCATGAGAATGAATCTCAAGTAAATTAGATCCCAAGGTCGACCATGGAAAGTTACCTTACATTGCTCAGTGCCTGAGGCAAAAGAGCGGAGTGCGGAACAGTCGGGTATTGCTCTCATTGGTTCCGACATGCATAGTCAGCCGAAGTGCACGGAGCATCAATTAAGCTCGCGTCACGGGCGACGCGTCGGCCGTCCATTAGCTTCGAGGACGGGAATTGTATGGCGGCGACAAAATAGCCCAGCGACTTCATCCATACACTTTGAAGCTCAAAGCCGATCAACCAAGATGGCGTTGCTAGTTGATAAACACCGGCCTCGCTCGCTGGACTCTCTGACATATCACCCAGAGCTTTCCTCACGACTAAAGTCCCTGGTAAGGCACACTAGAGAACCTTGAATAGCGAAATGATAATAATCATCGAAACATGTTTAGGCACAAAGCGGCGACTTCCCACATCTACTGATCTACGGACCATCAGGCGCAGGCAAGAAAACACGCACGATCGCAACCCTGAAGGAATTGTACGGCCCTGGAGTGGAGAAGATCAAGATCGACGCCCGAGTCTTCCAGACGACGAGCAACCGGAAGCTGGAGTTCAACATTGTCTCCTCCGTCTACCACTTGGAGATCACACCGTCGGATGTGGGCAACTATGACCGCGTCGTTGTCCAGGAGCTGCTCAAGGAGATCGCGCAGACGCAACAGGTCGATCTCTCGGCGAAGCAGCGGTTCAAGGTGGTGGTGATCAACGAGGCGGACCACTTGACGCGCGATGCGCAGGCGGCGCTCCGACGGACCATGGAGAAATACAGCCCCAACCTCAGACTCATCCTCCTGGCCAACAGCACCTCGAATATCATTGCGCCGATCCGATCCCGCACCCTGCTGGTCAGGGTCGCTGCGCCCACGGAAAAGGATATCTGCGCGGTGTTGCGAACGGCGGGCAAGAAGGAGGGGTGGCCAGAGGCGGATGGGCTGAATCAAAGGGTTGCGAGGGAGAGTGGTCGGAACCTGCGCCGCGCGCTGCTGATGTTTGAGGCCATTTATGCTCAGAAGTAAGAGCTCCCCGCCCCCTTTGCTTGTGTTCCTGAAACCCCGGGGCTGACAACATTTTTCTGGGGCATCACAGTGAGAAAGTCACCGACAACACTCCAATTCCACCTCCCGACTGGGAAGCATTGATTGCGCAAACTGCGGATGAGATTCTGGCGGAACGGTCACCGGCTCAATTGTTGCGAGTCCGCTCACGTCTGTATGATCTGCTGACGCATTGCATACCGGCTACTACCATCCTCAAGGTTTGATTCCCCTCCCCCAGAAACACGATTCGCGAAAGCCTTCAGGCTAACGGGGGCATGATAGACCTTAACCTTCCAGCTCGTCGGCAAAGTGGACGATGCTCTCAAGCCCGACGTAATCAAATGGTCGGCTTTCTACGAGCACAGAATCACCCAGGGCAGTGTAAGTTCTGATTCTATTGAAGAGATCCGCAATCAATCATGGTACTGACCCATCGCTCCGCAGAAATTGATCTTCCATCTCGAGGCATTTGTTGCCAAGTTTATGCGCATTTATGAAAGGTTTGTTTGACACAATAGACCAAGATGTTATTGGCTATCGTTGCTAACTCGATGTGTAGTTACCTCATGGGCATGGAGTTTTAAAAGGGTCTAGAGTAACAAACAATGGACGAGTAATGAATTAATTGTACTATAACAGGTCGTTATCTCCATAAATCAGGCGTTCTGTGATAGAGTAAATGTCCTTTTCTTCCTATTTTAGGCATAGCGCAAGCTTTATTCCGTTGTTCTGTGCAAGACATCATGTAGATCATCTACAAACTTCAAAATACTCACCAGGTGGATGGGGTTTTGGGCAAGAGAAGAGATGGTAGGGGAGATGGGAGGGGAACCCGGGGATGACGCTCCATTGACTGAGATGACTAGCCTCACACAACCAGCTTGCTGCGGAGTAGACTGTCTAGGTATAAGCTGCAGCATTATCCATGACTGACATTGGGGTGCCCTGAATGGGAGTTGGTAGCCACTGGCAATCCATCGACAGCTGATCTTGATTGACTGGGTCGATTCACTTGACTACGTCATAGCTCGTATACATATTCGACCACCACCTCGCAGGCAAATCCCCCCATCTTCCAATCCCGCCTAATCTTTAAAAAAACACAGACAAGGATAATTACTAAGTCTATCAATCCCACGAGTCAACTTTTACTTTATTTGGAACATCGCGAAATATACACCATGTCGAACCCCAACCTCATGGATATCGAGCCCGGTGGTGAAAACACTCAGTATGTTTCCGCTGGCTGCTCGGGTTTCGCGAATCAGAGGAACTGAGGATTACCGTGTGCTAACCGGGATTGTAGGTATGAGTCGATTCGTTATTTCACAGAGACTCCGCCGAAGCAGACCGGTCAACTAGGTGGTAAGTTCGTGCTTTTTTGACTTGGGACATGATTTACAAGGGCCACGGCTTATGGGGCGGACTAGCCCACTGCGAGCACACAAGAAGTGAATACAACCCGATCCTCGGAGACGAGGATGAAGAAGGCAAGGAAAAGAATGGGGACACGCCACTGGCACGGCAGCTTGAGAAGGGAGAGGCTACGTCTGGTCTCTCGGGAATCGTGGATAAAGGTACAGTTTTACAATCTTTTTTTTCCCCGGGGTTTCCTTTTTTTTCCCTTTCCCTTTCCCTTTCAATATGATATAAACTCCGCATATGAGAAAGACATCGACACCTTGTGCGAGATCAATCGCAATAAAGCAGAATGTGAATGGCTGATGGTAATGTACAACAAAAGATTCAAAGCCCGAAACCCCAGAGGAGGCTGCAGCGCTGGCGGCAAGGATCAGGAGAGAACAGGGATATGGGCCTGGCTCGGGTGTCGGGGCTTAGGTGCCGCGAGATAGGTGTAAATAAAACATGGGTAATGAACAGATTCTCCAAGAAATTCGAGACGGGCGGTTGATTGATTTATTGAGAAGCGGATGGGCTGGAGGAGGTCGACTGCGGGGGCGTGGGGAGATTCTCCATCCCCAGGGCTGGGCTTCTGCGGGCACGCTTAAGGCTCTCCAGGGTCACTCCGTTGCCGAGTTTCGTCAGTCCGACCACCGGGGGCTCGCCCTTCTTCACAAACTCCCAGAGTCCTGTGTATAGTAGATGTATTAGTGTCGTGGGCCGTCAATGGCGATGTTTCTAGATGCCATGAGGGGAGGGGGGCGCCTACCAGGCAGCTTGTGACCGGCCAGACGGAAAGCTTCTCTGGCAACCTTCTCGTGCAGGTCGCCCTTCAGCTCGAAGACGATTCTGCTCACAGCGACCTTCGCCGTCCAGTAGTCGAACTTTCCTTTACCCTTACCCATACGCTGCTCGTTACCCTTGGTGTAGACACCGATGTTCGCGCTGACTCGCTTGTATAGCGTATAGTTCATACCCCTCAGGCGTCTCTTGATGGTTTCTTCGGCGATCTTGAGAGAATGGGCGGGCAACCGACGGTCGTGATCCTTCATCCGCAAGCCATAGTCACCCCAGACAACAGTCGTACCGCGCGAGGAGCCACCGGTCGGGACATGCGGGCGACCCTTCGGAGACTTCGACACCTCGGCGTACTTGGGAGTGAGCCAATCCAGGGCAGGGGAGGTCGTCGAGAAGCATCGCGAGAGAGGAAGCGCTGTGCAAGGAGTCGTGAAGCCTAACGCATCGCATCGGTGTCAGTTTCCCTTCCGTGATGAGAGAATTTGATGGAGGTTCATGGCCAAACAGAAGAGGAAAAAATCTGGGAGGCGGCAGCGCAGAATCTTACATGAAGGCCGGAACAGGGCCATTTGAGACCCGGAGAACATCTTGAACTGAGGACCCATTGTGAATTGAAATGCAGCAAATGGCCCTCTCTCAATTACCGGATCTCAGCAATATTCAAAGGGTTCCCGGCAGACTTTCAGGTTATCGGCGTATCTGCAGGCCCGGGCCCGAATTCCCCCATTTCCCGAAAAGGAAGAAAGTGCTGCGCACGTGCCACACGCGCCTCTCTGTCTTAGGTAAGCCAATTAAGTCACGTCGGCGTAGCTCCAGGCAGGCGCGCGTCCGTGTCGGCCGGAATTGTATGTAGCTCCCAGCGATAAGTGGTGAAGGCTTTCCACCTGCTGGACGTTGTTGTTGCCTGGAGTGTAGGTTCTCTCTGACTGTTAAATTTTGTCCCCAGGGAGCGCTACCTTACACGGTTGTGCACGCTCCAACAACTATTGTTCACCATGCCTTCTGATATCCGGAGCTTCTTTGGCGCGAAGTCGAGCCAAGGCTCAAACGCATCTCCTGCAAAGCCGGCTGCAAAGAAAGAGGTACGTCGATGATCGAGCTCGCACTCCAGTGCCCTTTCTCACAATTATCGTTCCAACAACTTCTTGCTGACTTCAGTTGCGTTGCTAGGAGCCTGCTACTCGGAAGAAGCGTGAGATTCATACCAACCGTCCCGATCGTGCCTTGCTAACCTGGCTGTAGGCACTCGGAAGGTTGTTGATGATAGTGACGATGAAGAAGTAACTGAGGTGAAGCCTTCAACCCCAAAGGCGAAAACAACAAGCAAGCCGTACGTGCTCCTTCGACTTTCTTAGCAGAACTTCATCAATTGACAGCTTCAAGGAAACCTGAAGAATCACAAGGAGAACCGACTTCTACCTCGGACTACTTTGCCTCGAGCAAGAAGCGAGGAAGACCAGCGAAGAGCAACAATGCGACCACAGCTAAGCCGTCGCAGCCAACCCCAGCCGAGCCTGTGCACGAGTCCCCGAAGCCTAAGACGCGTGCAGATACACAGACTACTCCTAAGAGAGCCACTCGTGGATCTACTAGAAAGACGACAACGGTAGTAGACGATGATGAGGGACTAGGTGGCGATGACGTCTTTGCGACCGAATACAAGAAGAGAGGCAAGGGGGATGACGATTATGTTGAGGAGGATGAGCAGGATGGCAGCGACGACGAATTTGAAGAGCTTGCCGTGAAGCCTGCCAGCCCGGTGAAACGAACCGGACGAAGCAAACAACCACCCCCTGCAGAGTCAGGCGATGATGTGGTAATGGAAGATTTGCCCAAGCGCCCCTCTCGCGCGGCGCAATCGACAACCTCCCGCCCAGCTCGCAAACGGAAGTCGGAAGCATTGGACAAGGAGGAAGACTCCGAATTCGAGGCCAGTCCTAAAAAGAGTGCGGTGAAAGCGAAAGCGACGTCGCATGCCGCCAAAAAGCCCCGAGCGTCTCCGACAAAGACCGATCGACCCGAAAGCAAGGAAATCCAGGATATCTTCGACAGCATCCCAACCGTCAAGGCTCCTTCACCTCCGCCACAGTCGGGCGAAAAGACGAAATTTAATTTCGCCGCTCAGGCACAACGTTCAAGGTCTCCTGTGGGCGGAGGCGTGGAGCTGCCAGTCGGAGCAGAGAACTGTCTCGCTGGACTGTCGTTTGTCTTTACCGGGCTTCTGGACACGTTGGGCCGCGAGGAGGGTCAGACCTTGGTGAAGAAGTACGGTGGCAAGGTTACCGGTGCCCCCAGTTCGAAAACGAGCTACGTTGTTTTAGGAGCGGATGCTGGACCCAAGAAGCTCCAGACAATCCGACAACACAAGATCAAGACAATCAACGAAGAGGGACTATTCGAGCTCATTCGACGGCTTCCAGCAAATGGAGGAGATGGAAAGGCCGGGGAAAAATACGAAGCGAAGAAGAAAGCAGACGAGGCCAAAGTCAAGGCGATGGCAGCAGAAATTGACAAGGAAGAGAAGCGCAAGGAGATGGCCGCTCGCGCCTCGAATACTGTTCCGCCTTCAGCATCTCAAGCGTCCACCACAGCCTCTCAACCCGCTAAAGTCGCTGATGAACTGTGGACAACCAAATACGCGCCAACATCCATAAGCATGATTTGTGGCAACAAGACCCTAGTCGAGAGACTCCAGAATTGGCTACGAGACTGGCACAAGAACGCGAAATACAACTTCAAGAGACCTGGAAAAGACGGAAGCGGCCTCTACCGAGCCGTGATCATCCATGGGCCTCCTGGTATTGGAAAAACTACAGCGGCTCATCTGGTTGCGAAGCTGGAAAATTACGATGTCGTTGAGACTAACGCGAGTGATACGAGAAGCAAGAAACTCGTCGAGAACGGCCTTGTTGGGGTGTTAGACACAACCTCTCTACAAGGATACTTCGCAGGAGAGGGCAAGAAGGTGAACAGTGATAAAAAGAAATTGGTTCTGATCATGGACGAAGTTGATGGAATGTCTGCCGGAGATAGAGGTGGCGTTGGAGCTCTGGTGGCTGTCGCAAAGAAAACCCATATCCCCCTCATTCTCATCTCTAACGAGTGGAAAATTCCAAAGTTGAAGCCCTTCGAAGGCACTGTCTTTGAACTTGCTTTCCGACGCCCAAGTGCAGATCAAATGAGGGCCCGACTTTCAACAATCTGTTATCGCGAACAACTGAGAATACCAGCTCCGGTGCTGGACGGTCTGATCGAAGGAACCCATTCTGATATTCGCCAAATCATCAACATGCTCTCGACTGTGAAACTCGATCAGCAGAATTTAAATTATGAAAAAGGACGGGAAATGTCGAAAGCCTGGGAAAAGCATATTATTCTTAAACCATGGGACATTGTGAACAAGATCCTCGGACCCCAAATGTTCGCACACACGTCAAAAAGCACTCTTAACGACAAAATTGAACTGTACTTCAACGACCACGAATTCAGCTATTTGATGGTCCAGGAGAATTATCTCAAGACAAGGCAGACATTGGCCTCTGGGTACCAGGGTCGAGAGCAGAGGTTGAAGCAACTCGAGTTGATCGACAATGCAGCATCTAGTATCAGCGACGGCGACCTTGTGGATCGCATGATTCATGGGACCCAGCAGCAGTGGAGCTTAATGCCTACTCATGCTGCTTTTAGTTTTGTTCGACCTGCCAGCTTCGTGTATGGAGCCATGGGAGAACGTCCTACATTTGCTGGTTGGTTGGGACAAAACAGCAAGCAAGGTATGTTTTTTTCCCCTAAATTCCCTCAAAGCATGTCTAATATATGTATGCAGGAAAATTGTGGCGTTACGTCAAAGAAATTCAAGGCCATATGCGCCTACGTGCATCCGGCGACCGGGATGAGATTCGGCAACAGTACATGCCCCTGCTCTGGGATCGCTTGGTCCGCAGATTGAAAGATGAAGGTAAAGACGCTGTTGAGGAAGTAATCGACTTCATGGATAGTTATTTCCTTACCAGGGAAGACTGGGATGCCCTAGTAGAGCTGGGCCTAGGTCCGATGGATGCAGAGCATGCGAAGCTGGAAACGCAGACGAAGGCCTCATTTACGCGGGTCTATAATCAACGCTCACACCCCCTGCCGTTCATCAAGGCGAGCAGTGTGACGGCTCCCAAAAAGATGGCGAAGGAGAAACCCGACATTGAAGACGCCGTGGAGGAATCGGATGAAGAAGAGGTTGTTGAAGAGTCAAAGGACGATGAAGCTGAGGAGCTTGACCTGAAGAAAGACAAATACGTCCGAGTGCCCAAGAAGTCAGCCACCAAGGGCGGTGCCAGCAAGGGGAAGAAGACAAAAAAGACAGCGGACGAAGATGATTTTGATGACGAGGAGAAGCCGAAGAAGGCGAGAGGTCGGAAGCCCAAAGCGAAGTCTGGGTGATATTAACACGAGGTGAAATCTTTTATGTATGATACTCTGAGCGAGCCCTTGATGTGAGACAGGATCTGGCCGGACGTCGTAGGCCTGGTTTTCGTAATAAGTAGCGTGGAAGATGAATGAATTACTTCACGGTCCTGCTATTTTTTGTCAATATGTGATTTCATTTAGTGACTCTAGTTGTAGTATAGTAGTCACTGAGATGAGACAATGTCTAACCTATGGTGTGTGATGAATTGTATAGATTGGCGCGACTTTCTTTCCCTGGACGCTAAGCCTCTTTTGGTCTAACAATGGCGGCGGTGCGGAGATCCGACGACTGCACGGGATCTCCCCCTCCCGTGTAACTACGCTCGGGTGAGATTGATTGCCTCCTCCACAAACCCACCGTGCGGTCTCACTGCCTTGGTTACTTATCTCTCGTTACCGTACCCATCTTTCCTGCAGCTCCCCAGGCTGGTCCTGGTTGCAACTGACACTCTCTTTTCTTGACCGCCAACCTATCGCTCCTCAAGTCTGGCGCATCTATCCACATTTCCCTTTGTTACGCCGTTCTAGGACCATGTCCACTCGATCACCGATAGCGATTGCGCATCGTCCGACGTAAATGGTGGCCACTTTTGGCTGCAACCTACCTTTTCGAACTCCCATACTATCCGCATTCCACCTTGCGCTCTCCGGAAAATGTCGCTCCTTCACAACGAAGAGTAGGTTACAGGATTGCGATCTCCGCATCGCCTATGTCACGCGGCGGCGGTTCGTGTGTTGTTCTAGGGACTGATGGGGGTTTCTAGTTTCACGATATGGCAACTGCGCACTTCTTACCTCTCGACCATTAAAGATGGAATCGGTGACCGCCTCATCAATGTGAACAATACCGTACTCAATACTCCCGGTTTCCGTGCTGCGGGCTGGTCTTCCGCCTCCGCCAACCCCAACACCCAGACCGGCGCCGCCCAAATCAAGCGGACATACTCGCCTCCCATACCCCTCACCACAGCTGTCGCCTCGGAATATTATCAACTTGGTATTGCCAGAGATGCCAATGAGTCTGCGAGGCTTGGGGCGGGGGAAGATGGCGATGACGATGAAGGCGGGATGGTGACAGGAAAGAGTAACATGGACATTATCGGACGGCGGAATCTCAGAGGGAAGCGCACGCACCGGAGGGATCGTCAGCAAAATGATCAGCAGAAGCATCGGGAGGCTGAGGAGGACGATAG